GGGCTCCAACAGCAGAGGTTAGACTGAAGTAGTGCCAGAACAAGCGTGCAAACCCTGGGAAGGAAGCATGGCAAAGCTACCTACAACACACTAGCCAGCATGACCGCGTGTTGCACCCTGCTTTCTTATTCTTCTAAAAGCTAGAACAGATAATCGGCGTCTGTCTGGAAAATTAGAAGAGGTACAAGTTAAGCTGAAGGAAAAAGAGCACATTTGTTTATTTAGAAGCCTAAGCAATCATAATAAACATATGCTCAAATAATCAGCTCCTGTGTAATTACTCATTTGCAAGCACAGTTATTAGGTAGGTAAATTCACTATTTTTCAAAAATGCAGGTTAAATATTTATCTCTGATATATATTAAATGCAACACAAGACTGTGCTAAGGACATATATTAGACTGTAATATTTACAAAACTGAAGTGTTTAGCCCTTTCAGACCTTTTTTAAAGCCTTGACCTTGCAAGCAAATAAGGACAGTGTTATTTTAATGTGCATTCGAATTTTAACAACACAGTCACACAGCTCTAGTGGAATCCACATTGAGTTTCCACTGTAGATTGCTCATCATTTCATTATGGTTCATTATGCTGATAACTGTCAGAAAGCATTAGAAGCAGGAGCCTTGAGTAATAGCACTGAAATGGTAATTTAAAAACAATATACTTTCTGGAGGAAATACAGCAGTGCACTAAATTCAATTAGAAGAGGCGAATGTAAAGACAAGTAAGTGACATTTTCTGTTTGAAGTCAGGCTGTTCGATTTCTTGATAACCTAAACTGGAGAAAGCCCTTTTAAAGCAGGCACTTTTCTCTTGCATCTCACTGAATTTGCTCTCATTATCTCTAAGCTTCTCCAGTATAAACTGTCTTAAATGCAACCGTTTTAGAAATATTTCAGGCCATGCCAAAATATCAACCAATCAGTCACTGTTTGTGTGGCACAACAGACTAAATTATTCAGGGTCATTTATTGAGACAGATTTCAAGCTGGACAGTCAGTCTATGCTAGTAATCTCTCTTTTGTAAAGGGCTCCCAATTAAAAATCATTAATAATCTGAATCAAACAGACAATATAAACAATACAAAACCGTCCCATACTCATTCATAATGTGAGCATTGTTTGTTAAGAAACAGTTAGAGAGCCCGACTCGTTAACGGTTGGGACGCAGGACCAACACCCATTAACTTGGGTGGGAACTGCACCTGCCTGCACCAGGCTGCAACTCACAGGGCATCTCCTTATGGAAATGGAAATTCAGGGATGAGGACCACGATTGAGACTGATTGTTTTCCAGCCTCATGGATTTGTGTGTTGGTAAGGCAATCTATTCTCCATTAGATCGCTAACCTTATGAAAAACCCATCCTCTCAAGAAGTACTGAAATATAATGAAGGTCTGAATAGGTGCCTTAACATTATTTTTGCGATACTTCCAAAAGGGAAAGACATCCCTGTGTTCCACCATTTGTGCTCAAGTGTATTACAGGTCAGTCATAGCATTTTCATGCCCAAGCACGCAGCTGACAAGCCCACTGCACTTCTGAGATGAAAGTCTATATTCCTGAGTTGGGTCAAAGCAGCAGATCCAGGGCAGCTTTGCTCCTCAGTGGTGACAGACACATTGATGATTATCCCCGTAAGGCAAGCTTGAGAGAAAAGATGTATCAGTAAACATGTGTATGTCAGGGTGTTTATGCCTGGCCTTCCGACACAGCCCACTCCACCTTCTTCTACGGTCACATCCTACCACATTCTGCTCTTACTTGTACAAGCTTTAAGCCAGACATAACTTCTCACTCTAGCAGAGCTAAAATAGGGCAGAATACTGAAAGCTGAGTTTGAGTTATGTGTTTAGATTGGATGCCTTGCTTACCCAAAGGTTAGGCACAGTTTTTACAACTCAACAACAGATAGAGATGTCAGAGAGTGTCATTATGGAATGAGAAAACTCTGAAGCACCTCTCCTGACCAGCGCATCAGGAAGTAGGTGTTGCTTTTATTACCTACCATGGGAACTGCGAGAAAGGAAAAGGAAGGGGAATTCACCAGTTCCCTTCCATCCACTAGCACCATCAAGCTAATGGAAAGTCATAACAGTCTTACTCCCCCTACCTAGGAGGCAAGATAAGTGATGAGGCCAGACAGTTTATTACTAAAGGAAATCAATAGCCAAGGGTCAAAGCTTTACAAAAACACATTCTAAGAAGGCTCAAGGTCTTCATCTTAAAAAGTGTTCAGAAATAATAAAGAAAGGATCAATCCACAGTCCATTCCAGGTGTTCCCTCCAAATTACCCAATGTTACTTTTATTCACCTGGTCTAATAGCTCTCCAAGTGAACAGAAACCTGATTTTACAAGTCAGTGGAGCAGAGTCTATCTTTTTGCTAGAAGAATGGATCTCAGATACTGTGTTTTATTTCTTCATTAGTGCGCCGTCACACTGAGCGATTACTAAATGCAGGGCTGAATGAGAATACCAGGGTTAAAGAGAGCATAATGAACAAAGAAGGTGCCTGATTATTATGGCTGTCAGCACAAGGGAATTGGGTTTGTCACCTGGTTTAACCAACTGGTAAGAACTGATTAGAGTCTGAATCCATCTGAAAGAACCTTTGATGTTTACGCTCCCTTCTGTCTCCACATCTTGTCAGGAAAGGCAGACAAATGTGGAGCTTCCTCCAGATGGGCTTCCTTCAGCAGAGGCCCTTTAAATGCTTTCTGCCACTTGGTCTCAAGTGTGTGGACAGAAGGCTACTTGGTGTGGGGAGCACAGCAAACAGCCACCTACCCCAGGAGCCCTTGCACCCCACTCCTTGTGCAACGCAGAGGTGCACCACGCACGCAGGGCTGCATTTTGTGCCTGTGCAGGCACCACCATCATAGCAACGTTCAAACACTGCTAAAGCAGACCTCAAAAAGGGAACATCAGCGAGCACAGCCATGGGTGGGAGAGCAAAACTGCTCCACAAGCCAGCTGAGGAATAACTTCTGTGTCTTCCTGCACCTTGGAACACAGAAAAAGACGCCCTTAAGGTATAGGAAAATTCACTGCTATGAAATGGGACCTCCAGAGACAGGCCTGTTTTCCAAAACCAGGTGTCCATGGAATTGTGGTGCTGGCTTGCCTCTGCATGCCATCTCCTTCTAGATAGCTGCAGAGATTAAGATGGAGGCCAGCGCCATGGCCCTTGCCTTCTCCCCTTGTCATATTTTCGGGGTAAGGATTTCAACTTTGACTGACCTCTGAAGACAGGAATGGGGAAGGGTGCCAGAAGGAGGCTCAAGACTTGACAAAAAAGGGCTAAGCTTGCAGGGGTACGTTCTGGAATACAAGCAAACATACATTATCATTTGCTTACAATTCCCCCATCTGGAAGTGTTTTGCTCTCTCCTCATACTTCACTCGCTGCACATGCCTATTTAAATTCAACCAGTTGATTACTAATTTGATTTCAATTTGGTCAGGATATCACTCACTAGGACAGGGCTTTATGAGAAACTTTTGCTGGTATAATGTTATTTGCAGTGTATCTTCCAAACAATAGTTTTATTGTTGCAAAAATACATTTTTCCTATCAAAATGGTCAAGCTTTATACCTACTAGTGTAAACTACTTTATAAAAAGCATTTTCCTACCCACTTCAGCAAGGTTTCACAATACAGTTAGACCTCCAGTCCCAGTCAACATTTGGCAAGGGATATGCAGACCTCTCTGCTTTCCTACTAAGCAAAAGCAGCTGCTCCCAGCTATTATGCCCAGACCTGCTTAACCACCACCCAGCAAAACTCACAGCTGAAAAGGAGATCACTGAAGAAGAGCTGGAATCAAGGGGGTGTGGGGAAGGGATGAGTGTTGGCTTAGTTATGGACATACTTTGTTTCTGCCTTGTAAGGGAGAAATTAAGATTTAAACAAATGTGAGTCATCTCTCCAAAATGAATGTGGAATATATTAAAATGTTACAAAAGAAATATCTCAGCCTTCCCTCACTCACAGACACACACACACTCTCTACATAAATATACAGCTGAACTCCAAAAATCTGGAAGCATTTCCAAAGTCCTCAGGGTCTTCATCAGTTCTAGATATCTCTAGATATCTCCTGGTAAAATACAGCCCTTTCACTTATTGTTTCAAATTGCTCTGCTCCTATAGAAGTTAAAACTGAAGAACTAGATGATCATGATTTATCACCAGGGCACGCCTGAAATCCCAGGTCTTCAGCTGCATGAGCTGTTAACCAACACATAGGACAAGGGTTGTCCACCAACTCCATTGGTGTGCTCAGTGCTCTATGCCTCTTGTTCTCCCTACTGAAGGCATTTTGGTGGAACTAAAGCAAATTTGCTGTACGTGATGTATTTATCTACAAAAGATAAAATAAACTATACTTTGGGTGTTTGTTTCATTAAGGTTTAAGATTTATTCTTACCACTCCTTTCAGAGGAACACTTCTATGTTCTTAAGGGTCACCAGCTATATTCTGAGCAAATTAGATATATAATGAAATGATGAATACTACCTATTTACCCTAGATCATACAATTGTAAGAAAAGCTTTCACAATTTCTACAAATAGCAATATTTAAAGAGATGAAGGTGATATGATCTACTGGACACGTCCTCACACTGGAACTTAGACCTGTATTTTATTCCCAACTCTGCTACTGAGGTCTGCGAGTCACTCCTCTTTTGTGGCTTCACCTCCTCTGAGTCTCCCGATTTATTTAGACTGTAAGGTCTCAAAGGTCAGTGCAACCATGTCACTGTTAGGAATTCAGAGCTGAGAACTAACCCTTTCTCTGCCAGAAGTGTGATCCAAAATGCAAACTGCATCTGCAAAGGGCTGTAAGAGCTACTGAATGCTGCTCTCAGAACAGGACACTTCTTAGAGACACAGATCTCCAGGCAGTATTCCCTACATACACAGTGAAAGAAAGACAGGAGAAGAAATGTATGATATAGGAGGAAGAGACTGTTCAAAGACCAACTTACGAGTGCAGGGCATGGAGGCAGCATCATTTTCAGCTCGGAAAAAGCCTCGATCGCAGGTGCAGGAGGTAGAGCCTTCCCAGATGGAGTAGCTGTGAGGCGGGCATTTGGCACAAGCAACATCTGTCGAGAGAGCCTTGTAGTATCCGATTTTGCAAGCTAGATGGAGGAACAAGAAGGGAAAGTGTTACTTGCCCAAGCTGTGATCATAAATTGCTAGCTTACTTATTCAAAATCAAGGCAGGAGACATTTCAAAGAGATCTAATGATGTCCTCTTAGCCCCAGGTGAAGAATTAACAATCATCACACTCTTAATGAGTAATCCTATGTCAGGGGATACTGATTTCTAATTCCAACAAGAGCCATTTTAAAGCTGGCTTGGAGATGGAAAAAAAAAAATAAATTATACTCTTCTATTGACACTGCCAGAAAATCAGCTGCCTCTTTGTGCTTACTGTGGAGTTGCATGTTGCTTAACCCATGTCCACCTGCATTCACATACACATACACACAGAGCATGACAAAAGGGGTGCAATTGGTTTATTCTATGACCACTTAAGGAATGGCAGCTGACAGGCAGACTACTGCCAATTTTTCAGAGGGAGTGGGACAGGAACCCACTGGGATTGGCAGCAAGGCCTTCAGCCTAACATGCCCGGAAATGGCACGTCTCCCCCCAGGCAAGGCAGAATTCATTTGGCTCTTTCTCCCCAAGAGAGGAAATCAGCAATGCTCTCCCCTCCTCGAAGCCAGGGCATAGCAGTAACTGCAGCACTGCCACCAGGTCCCACATGCAGTTGGCAAGCTTTCGGTGACATCATCTTCATAAATGCAACGCTTACACAAATGGCTACTTCTACATCACTTGGAAAAAACTCTTTAGCATCATTAATAACACATTTTAATAGTGGCTAACAGGTATGTCATCCCAGAAACTTCTCCCTTGGCTAGAGATAAAAGTCCACCATCACCACTGGTTTTCAGCACTACGGAGAATAAATACCCAGTCAGGCAAACATCTAAAAAGGAAAGGTTGTTCCCAGTGTTTACTGTGACTCACTCTCACATCTCATCACTTATCACCAATGCTACCTTTAGGGTTCCCCTACTACACACAGGCTCTAGTACATGGGGCGCAGCCCCCTGCACAGCCGGGGCTCACTCCTTCTGTTTTAATCTTTCCTTAGCCCTCCTCTTTTTTTTTTCCCTTATGAAGCCCTCCAATGGGAAATGGAGAGAGATTTTAGTAACACATTTACAAAACAGCAAGTTACTTCACTCTTATTAACCAAAGCCACTTACGGAATTTCCCTAACGAGTCCTAACTTTACGATGTGCCATGTACCACCTGTAAGAGTGCTGGGAGATCAGTCTGCTTTCGCTCGCTGAGGCTGTCACTGGACCAGAGGATCTTATAAAAACACATTGCTCAAGTGACTAAGATTTATGCTCCCAGAGTTTACATGCATCACATTATTAGATAAGGTTTAACTTGCAAGGTGCTTTTTGGCCATGCTTCAAACAGCCTTGGGGTTTTGATTAAAATCAAAAACCACAGTTTTGGCAGGAAGAATCACGGGGGTCAAATCCAGCCTCCCCACATCAGAGACAATTAGTCCCTGAACACAAATATAAACCCACCAGGTACAGCCAGTGCACAGCTGCAGTACACAAAGGCAACTCGGGCAACGTAACTTACTCTGCTTGTGATGTGAATTATCCAGAAAAACAAACAAACAAACAAAACACCAGGGAAACTGACCTTTCATTTTTTTAATATGATTTGCAATATCTTGTGAGTAAGTAGTGCTATCACTACATGTCCTCTTGTGCCTCGTTTAACAACAGCAGCAGTCAAGTAGCAGATGCTGATCTGCGATATTATTCCTGGTTTTCACTGTCACAGCTCGGATCAGAAAGATGCCTAAGCCTGTATATGACCAGGACAGACGTGAAGAGGAGGAATCTTGCTGCCATATATAAAGATAAAGCATCAAAAAAAGAGAGTATAACAGATCAGGCTGACTGCTCTTAGCCACAAAATTCTTTCTATTATTCAAGGTTTTTAAAATAAACCATGCAAACATTATTGTTCAATATCAAAGTTCACAGAAATTATTATATGAAAACCTGTCTTTTGCATCTTCCTAGTATTAAAATATTTAGAAGATAAGCAATCTAGCACAAGGCTGAAGATCCGGCTCAGGCTATAACACACTATTGAAAAGGCAGGAAAATGTCACAAGTAAAGATTTTTGCGATCATTCTTCCTCCTCACTGTCTTTTCCAACTCAGTGGTTTCAAAGGGAATAGATGGATACAGTGGGTACTGCAAGGTCATCAGTCTGTAATTCAAGGATTTTTTTTTTCCCCCTCATTTCAGGTACTCTGTTTTGTTTTCTACTATATTAAGCCCAGATCAATAATATTTCAAGATCTGAGGAAAGCTCTCCAAACGCAGTGGCTGCTCCTAAAGCAAACACAGCCATTTTGCTTCAAAAATCCCCTACTCCTGAACAGTTAGTTTTCTTCATTTTAGCATGCTCAGAGATTCACCACATTTCAGCACGTGGCATAAAATAATGTTAAAGAATGTGTTGCATTAAACCAGCAGTTCTTTGCCCCTAAGAGCTCCATGGTACCATCACTTACAAACTCGAGTCTAATCCTGTAAAAGCTGTTCTTAGCATGAAGTACTGCTGACACACCTATTACAGCCAGCGCCTGTTAAGGCTACGGATGGGCTTTTTCGGAAGGTTAATGATTTAGTAGGCAAACAAAAAGCCTGTACAGAACTGTTCCCTGAAAGTCTTTATTGCCTGCTCATGAAAAGTCTTCATGCAGCTGCTTTTCTAGGAAGGATTTGCTGGGTGAGACCTGGCATGAATGGTGTTCTTACACAGCCTTCGAAAGATACCATTGTAAAAAGATTAGTTCACATGTGCAATGCAAACTTCGAATTAAATTCCTTAGCTTTGCCTTAATTAGTTCTTTCTGTTTTGTTTTGTTTTTTAAAAGAGAGAAAAATCTTTTCTCACACTCAGATCACCCACAAGCATAACCAGGTTACAATCAGCTGCACTAGATCTAAGGAAAAGTCTCAATTTTTTTTTCAGCATGAAAAAGCTTGCAGTTTTTCCTCAGAACAAATCACATTGATTTTAAATGGACATCAGTTTGAAATAACTATGCTGATATCTCTGAGTTTTAATGTTAAAATTTATTTGATTTCTATTTCTCTTAAAGTGAAACAGGACTTGTCAAATATCACTGGTCATCATCATATGCCCTCCCCCCCCCCCCGCCCCCTTTTTTTTTTTTGGCCTTTTTTTGTTATATTTACCAGAGTGACACATGTTAAAACTGCAAAACTGCTCTGGAGAATTATGGAACTTCAGTCAAATCTGGATGTAACTTTTCTCAAGCTGTTTTTCAAACTCTATCTTCTCATTAAAATCTGATTTTCAGACTCATGGCTTTCTCAAAAAAAAAAAAAAAAAAAAAGAAAAGAAAAGAATGCATGTGTGGGCTGGAAAGTCTGCTTGCTTAGTCTCTCCAAATGCTGAATTTTCTATTAGAAAATTTTAGCCAGCAATTTCAGAATTTAAAAAAATCATCTCACATGGGATGGAGTTCTAGTCACATTCTTTTTAGTCACAGCTATAACAAAATATATGTACTAAATAATTTTCAACTCTTTTTAAATAAGATATGCTTTTTTTCTGACTGAGGGCAGGGGAATCTTTAAAAAAATTACTCTTACAAATTTAAAGGTGTTAAAAAAAAATCCCCCACCTCTTGCTTTTAAATTTTTCCTTTGTCCTTGTTAAAATGGCAATGAATCTTTCCATCCTAGTTTGGAAAAGGCTTGACATGCTTAATAGTTCTTAAAAAAAGCATAATGTCTTGAAAAGGCTTAGATAAATAAACCGTTCTGATCTCTGATCTCTTTGTTGAGAAGTTCCTAAATCATTAAAAAGATTAAAAATGCAGCGAATACCTTAAAAGAATCTCAGCAAGCTCCAAGTAGAGGCTTTGGCAGTGCCACGGAGGCAGCAGCGCTCTGCTCTTCGCCCACAAGAAGGCTAAGCGGGAGAGGGAGAGACCCTGGAGCCAGGGGGGCTGGCTGAGCTCCGAGCAGATGACGGGACAGTGAAGGTCCAAGCCAGCCAGCCCTGAGCTGAAGCTGCTGAGCAGGATCTCCTGCAGCAGTCCTGGCAACAAGGGACCAACGCCAGAAGAAAGTTTCTACCTGCTGCCTCAGTCTCTGCTGAAGATGAGAATTCACAACTGAGAAAAACACTGATTTCCAGATAGGAGATAATAAAGAGAATGGGGGAATAAACAAGCGCAGAAACATGGTTTTGCTCAAGTAAATCTAGTTAAGTCAATTAAATTATATTGGAAGGAAATTTGACATAGATGTTCTAAAGTGCTTATTTGCAGCAGCAACAAAAGACTAGTGGGATGGCAGACCTGTACAGGGGGAGGCACGGCACAGGAATGCTGGACTGCAGAGCCATTACCCTATAGATCACTGTGCTAAAGGCCGAGATCTCCAAATGAGTTCTGCAAGGAAAGGGCCCTCGACCAGGCCAGGATCAGCAACTGAACACAAACCACGCTCCCGCTGCACCCCTCCTTCCCAAAAGGGACCAGCACACCACTAAGAACATTTATTATCACAGGCAAGTGAATAATATAGGTAAAAATCTGTGGAGTTATCTGAAATTTCAGAAACTGTGCATTTAACAGTTTCTGTTTTTTGAAGCAGAAAAATATCAGCTACATAGTAATGAAAATTTCAAGATTCCTTGAGATGCAATTTTAAATCACATCTCCCTCCACACATAAAAGAAGAGGTGAATTTTTTTTTAAGTCAATTACTGTAGCCAACTTTAATGAAAAACCCTGAAATAGTATACTTGGTGAAATGAAGGACAAATGAAGCAAATAATTTAAGAAAAGATATTTCAGTGTCAGGCTTATAAATTTCAGTGAGAAATTTGTGTTTGCAGACTTGAAAAAATACTTTGATAGCATATTTCATGTCTTTCATCACTGGTTACTTTTTCTACAGCTCTTCCCCATCTGAAAATATTTTAAGCTCATATTTTAACTGCACCCTTAGGAACAAAAAGTTACTTTTATTTTTCCC